TTGTGCAGTGTTTGGAAAGGCTGCTTTTTATCCCAGATTGATATCTGATGGTTGAATCTGGCAAAGAACAGTTTTTGAGATAGATGGCCATGGTCCATTTGGCCTCAGGAGAGGGACTGTCTGGCATGGCCAGGCTCCACGGACACTGGCAGTCAGAGACTCTGCTCTGTTTTTGTCTGGAGATTGTGCCTCAATAAAGAGGATGGAGTTAAAATCATAGAGCCTGACAAATAAAGAGCTGCGCTGTGCTACAGAGAAAGTTACACATTAGAGAGAACCTCTGCTCATACACAGCACTTGAGATTGGTGGATGATGATAGTCACATGACACATGGAAACTGCATTCCCTCACTGCTGCCCAGGAAGGCACAAGACAGCCAGCAGCCAGCAGCCAGCAGCTAGCACTGCAGCAAGAATGAGTTCATACAGAGTCTGTGGACAGAGCTTTAGGGCCATGTCCTTTCTCACCATCACCACTAGTCTCTGTTGAAGTCTGTGAGAGGCAGGAGGGATGCTCACAGCCCTTCTCTCTGGGATGGACTTTTAAAAAGGCCCCCACCACCTTCTTAAATTCCCACAGTTTTGCTTTGTCTGCACCTGTGACTGCCCGTTTACCATTTTGATGTTTGTGTAAATACAGGGCCCCTCCAGGAGGCTGGAAACACAGTGTGTGGGCAGGCACAGTCATACCAGGATGACAGGGCTGGGTCGCATCAGCATCAGCTGCCCCGCTGCTGCTGGCAGGCTTCTGCATATTGAGCTGTTGGCCAGGCTCTCCTGTGACTACTAGAGGCTGCTGCTGGTTGAGTATTCTGTGTGGTTCTGTGGAACAGTTCTTCAAGACTTACCCATAGAACGTAGCATTCAGCTTCAAGTTGGAATGTCATATCCAGACTCCCCCTTCCTGGCTCTTAAGAAGCCAGAATCCAGATACTTGATCAGTGTCTTCTGGGTAGTGCACCAGTGGCTGGCCTGGTGTACCCGCATTGCCCATTGGATGGTGTTGACACTTGAGGGATCTGTCTTATCTGGTCTGCTGCTCCATAGCAGGGAGCATTTTCAATGGTTTCTTCTTATTGTCCAAGGTTGAGGTACACAGGTGCTTAGTATATCTCATGTCTCCTGCAAATGGGCCTACATAAACGACTCACACTTGTGAGCAAATATCTGGCACCATGTTTCCACCTTTTTGTCCCCTGCAATTGAAGGGAAAGGGATAGTGAGACCCATCCATAATACCTGTTAAATTCCTCTGTGTTCTAGGTACCTCATTTGCATATTACCTCATTTAATCCTTGCAGAAATTCTGTGAGATAGTGACTGGGTTTGTCTGGTTAATGTTGAGACAGGGTCTCAGGTAGCCCAGGCTGGCCTCAAATTCCCTATGTAGCAAATTATGGCCTTGAACTCTTGGTCCTGCTGTCTTTACCACCCCAATGCTGGGATTACTGGTGTATGCTGTCATACCTGATTAAACAGACAGTTAAGATCCCATTTATCCTTAAGGTTCTCAGAGAAGGCCACCCAACAGCATCCTCAGGTAGGGAGCTGGGATTTGAGGCTAGCACCTGACTGCCGAGACTACATCCCATAAGTGCTGAAATTGAATGGCTGCCCTTGCTTGATACAGCTATGCATGGGGAATGAGGCACAATTCCAGTTTGTAGTTTGCAAAGGTAGAAACCTTTCAAGGTTGCCTGAGGCACATGGCTGAGTGGTACTTGAATTTAGGGCTGCTGGCCCCAGAGCCTGTTAGTAGCAATTTGCTGTGTATTTTCTGTCCCTGGAATGAAAGCTACTAGAATCCATATCTGAGCCTCCTCTTGCCCTTTACACACGCCCACCAGGACAGTATCCACCATCACAGGTGGTGCAGGTTCGAGGTACTGGGAATTCTGAAAGGACTGTCACAATCTGTTTCCTGCTTTGTGCTATTGATTGCCCTCGACAGGAGGTTGTGAGACTAGAAACCAGGCTTGCTGGGCAGAAGTATTGTAGCTTCATAGAAAGTGCTATTATTGCCATGGATTTCTGTATGTATTATTTATTCATTTATAGTTAGCATGTAACATGATGAGTTTCATTGTACCATTTTCATAATCATATGTCATTATACTCCCCCTCACCATCTCCCTTTGCTGGTCTCCTTCCGAGATTGAAAAAGCCCCTCCTGCTTTCCTGCCACACAATATTGCATTACCTTCTTACCCCTGCTTCTCTCTTCATTTCTTCTCCTAGTAGTCTTTTTCCATAACACACACACACACACACACACACACACACACACACACACACACACAGACGCATACACACACACACACACAGACACACACATACAGACATAGACACATACACACACTCAAATCTAGATTCCACATATGAGAGAAAACATGAGACATGTGTAATTTGAAGCTTTGCTGTTGGTTTTAGAAGTATGAAAGTTTGATCAGAATGGTCTCCCTGGCCACTCATTTTTCTGGAGTCAAATCCAAACACCTTTGTTAAGCTTGCAGTGAGAAGGGATCCCAGGCACTGAGCTGTGCAGCATGGAATGCATTCTACGTTTTCTATGCTGTGTGTACAAGGATGACCAAGGTGACTCACAGTCTTCTACCTGTAGCTGCTGTGGGGCAAGGGGAATTGGAAGCTTTTGAAAAGAGGCTCATTGCTACCAGGGCCTGGGTAGATGAGCTGGGATTTTCTCATGTAAGAATGTAAGTGGGGGATTTAAGATGAAGAAAGATGGATTCTGACCAGGAAATCTGAGATAACATCTGTGTGTAATAACTTTCCCATCTTAAAGGGAAAGTCTGACCACGGCTTGGGCAACAATAATGCCGTCAGGATCATTTGGAGACCCCTTAGTTGGCCTCCAGCCAGACAGATGCTGTCACTGTGGCTGAGCTGGGGACAGGGGTTGGACACAGATGCCCAGGGGTATGTTTATGTGGATTAGCTGTGCCCTCTGTGAGGTGTGGAGCAAAGAGGAGAGACTGAGGGCTTGTCAGTGTGACAATACCTGCCCCGCCAAGTCCAGGCCACTCTTTACTGAGTACACTGGTGGTGGAGATGCCCCCACTGTCATCTGTTGTACTCTGGTCCCACCTTGGGCACAGCACATGCAGTTCATGAGTGTTACTGTAGAGTGGGAGGAGGGCAGGCAGGGCTATTGGCAAACAGTTCAGGATCTTGAATCAGGAGAGTTTGTGCCTTCCAGCTCCAGATGGCGACTGTGAGCATCCCTTTTCCTTTGCTCATGAGTGAGTGGTTCAGGCTAGCCAAGAACTCCAGTGGGGAAGAAAGCCTGGAGGAAAAGTCAGAATCTGTGCAGGTCCTGGGGAGTGGATGAGTAACCAAGTCTGTGTCCGCAGGGCTCACAGCACTGGCTTGGCTGTGAAGACTGAGTCTACAATGCTTTGTCTCCCTACTGCCAATAGAACAGTGAACCTAGTTGGTTTTATTTTCCTTCATGGCCACAGCAGCACAGGGATAAATTACTTGCTTTGTTTTTTCTCTATAGATTATCAATTAGAATAAAATTCTACATTCTAGCAGCAGGTCCTTCGGTGCTTCCTGCTATAGCCGGTGAGAGACACTCTCTCAAAGATGTCTCACTCTCATCTGATCCTCCGGCTCCCAGGGAGGTGAGAAGGATGTTGCACCCCTGCATCTGGAGAAAGTGCACAGAGAGGCTGAGCCTCTGGAGTGAAGCTCTGAGCAGGGAAACCTCACTGAGTTTGCTTCACATAGACTTGTGATGACCATAGTTATTCTCCATTAGGAACTTTCCTTGGAAGGCCCTCTCCTTCCTTAGGCCAGGTGGGAGCCTGACTCTTTCCTTGGGAAGGTACTTGAACCTTGTGTGTTCTTGGTAGATGAATGGGTGAATGAGCAGATGAACTCTGGGTAATTGTGGTTCTAGGCAGAGCATGGTTGGGTGTTCCGTGGCTCAGTCCTGCCTGTTTTCTGCTCTAGGCCTTCTCCTAGCATCTTCTTTTTATTTCTCAGGGTTGTTTGATTGGACCATAGATTAATAATCTTCTTGTTTGTCGGTCTCACACTCTTCCTAAGGATGGTCCCTGATAAGAATCTCAAATTCTTATTACTAACTTTTATGGAAAGGCATTTCCTAGATACTTTTTGTATTCTGAAAGATTTTAAAATTGAGGGCATTTGCTAGGATCATCAGTGTTTCTGTTCTTAAAGCACAAAGCTGGCTACTGAGCCTTTGGGCATGCCTGTTGTGACATCATTGCTTGGGTCCATGTAGTTGGTTCTAGACATAGTATATATGCTTGGACATAGTACATACTGCTACTAGATGTGTGATTTTGGGTCCTGCACTTCCTAGAAGGGTGAAATCAGGTAAAGGAAACAGATAAAACAACCCCGTGATCTCCAGATCTTGAGATGCAGCTAAGATCTGGCCATGCCTTCAGCACAGCACCAGTGGTTAAGCTTGATGGAGATCAGAAGTGTGGATGCATATTGTCATTTCCTATCCTTAAATGCTTTCCTGTGCGAAAGAACTGTGTGTTGAACATAGTCCCAGGTTGGCTGTATGCTCCCCTCAGAAGGCAGTGTAGGAGAGCCAGATGTTTGCTAACCTTGACGGACTGTCTTTAATGCAAGCATGGGGCTCAGTACTACCTGATCTGATGTCTGGGCTGATAAACAGCTATAAGAGGAACAATTCAGTGCTCACAACAGACATTGTCCAGGAACAGGGACTCGGGAAAGCACTCAGAAATTGCAAGCCAAGTTTTTTCTCCTAGGAACCCACCCTTCCTCCTAACACACATCTTGCCTTGCACTTTTGTTTGTGTGGATGGAAGTGACAGCTGAGCCCACGGGGTGTCTGAGGCTGTAAAAGAAGTCTTGCTAGGGAACAGGGAACTTACCTAGACAGGTCATCTGTAATGGCATGTACTATAGAGAGGCAAGGGGACAGCTTACAGGATCATCTGCTCATAAGCATTGTCTGTGTTTTCTTCCCTCAGATGAACTACGCCAAGCCATCGTGGCCATGATGAACAGAAAGGATGAATTAGAAGAAGAGAACGGGTACTGTGACATCATGGCTGCCTCTTTCTCTGACATTCTGTCCCCAGTGGCAGAGCGAATGGATGGAGAGAATGGTGCCTTGCTGCCATAGCTGTGACTGACAACTTCTTATCTTACTGTTATTATTACTTTGAATTCTTGCGCGCGCGCGCGTGTGTGTGTGTGTGTGTGTGTGTGTGTGTGTGTGTGTGTGTGTGTATGTGTGCATGTGTGCATGCGTGTAGATGTGCACTGAGGCCAGAAGAGGGAACTGGATTCCTTGGAGCAGGAGTTACAGGCAGTTTTGAGCTTCGTGACTTGGGTGCTTGGATCTTAACAGATTTCTTACTTTTCTGGAATGGGCCACTTTGCTGTGGCTTGTATATAAGCAAGGGATGGAGACAGCAGTGGTGCCATCTTCCAACACAGAAGAATGTGGAGGAGCAGCCTTTAATGACATCACTCACTGACATGATCCACATACCCACAATTCAGTGGTTTTTCATCTATTCTCAGATATGTGCAGCCATTGCCATGGTCAGTTTTAAAATAGTTTTATCACCTCAGGAACAAACACCATACCACTTCTGTTCAACTCTCTGCCCAAAAAATACTTTCGAAGTGACCTTTAATTGAGGGTCTATATTCTGTGTTCACTCCCTCTCAAATTAGGGATTCTTGGGACAAAATGACATTTGGAATCTTTTAATTTGGCCAAAACACAATGATCAACTCCAGGAGGCAAAGTGTTTTCTTAATTTTTTCTTCCTTCCCTATTGAAACCCATAATAGATACTGCCAGTTGCCACCATGCAAGTGTCTGAAGTTGACCATTCTCCCTGCTAGAGAATGAGTCTGGGGTGGCCAGTAGTGGCAGGCTTGCCTGAGGTTATTCACAAAAGCCTTTGGGCACTAATAGGCTGCCTGACTCAGGGAGGTGGTAGGCATGTGTTCAGGTCACCTCCTGTCCTTTACTGGTGACAGTAGTCACAGTTCTCTCTTAGACCTTACTTCAGATCTAACTAACAAGCTGCTCTTCATCCTTTGAGGAACCATACAAAGGCAAATAAGTGTAATTTCTAAATCAGCAGATGCTGTTATTAGAAGTCTAGACAGCACCATTCCCAGCTCACACACATTCTCAACAGAGGCTTCTGGCCACTGCAAGGTTATTTCTTTGCTCTAGCTGAAGTGATGCTCTTGGAAGCAGCTATAGGATTTATCTTATCTCGTAAAGAATGGCAACCACTGTATGTTGATTTCTTCTTCCCAGACAGAATCCCCCAGGATGTTTCTCAGGGGTAGCATATTCCAGGAAGGGAATCTTCTCCAAGCTCCCAGTGAACACTGCGGGTCTTGGAGAGCTCAGTGGTGGTGGGGGCCCTGTGAGAGCTTGTTATATTTGATACACCCTGATGTTTATGGCAGGCATCCTCTGGATGTGGTCTGTAAATATATCACAGTTGCTTTTCTAGAAAGAGCCATTTAGGGACAGTGAAGTAGAACCATATTTGATTTACCTCAGGGTGGTAATCTGTGATCCTTTCTAGAATAGGTGCTACCCCTGGTCATTTTCTGGAGACAAGAAATGTATATGCAAATGGGTATTCTATAAAGTATAGGAATATAAGATAACGATGTGCTAATATATACTCAATAGGATGCCATACACACTAGCTTATCATGGAGGTGGCTGTGGACTGTGAGTCCTGGTCTATTCTATGGGCAGTGGTGGAAGCAGGATGAAGTGTCCATTAAGGAATCTGAGCAGGTATTCTGCTTTTCTGCTGCAGAATATTCATTTGGCCCGTTTTGACTCCCTTCCCTTTGTGAAATCTGTTACTCATTGAGGCTGTGTCAGAAGTTGCACTTAACTGCTGCACCCTTGAATAGAGTCTTTAAAAGCACCTCCCTGGCATTTGTTGAGCTCCTTGTTTTCCCATGATCTAAGCTGTCATAGGAGCAAGGACCCCGAGTCTGAGCACAGGTGACTGCCCTGGGGCTCATTGCAGTTGCTACACTCAGGCTTGCTGTCTGCTAACATCAGCTTATGTGGTTTGTGCAGAGCTAGTGGGCAGTGATGAATAATTGCATTGTTCTCTGGGTGGGCTGGACAAACAGCTTCTGAACTGTGGGGCCCTCTTTTCCAGGTCACTACGGAATCTCCTTGATGGTGAGATGGAGCACTCAGCAGCACTCCGGCAAGAGGTGGATGCCTTGAAAAGGAAGGTCACAGAGCAACAGGAGCGTCATACCACAAAGGTCCAGGCACTGGCAAGGTAGACAGGGCAAGGGATGGAGAGGCAAGCATGTATAGCCACAGTTCCACACATATCTTTTGTCTGTTTGCTTTTGAGAAAATGTCCTGCTATGTATGTAGCCTAGGTGGGCCTCACCCTTGGAATCCTCCTGCCTTGACTTCTAAGTTCAAGGATTACAGACATGTGCCACCACACCTCACTCACATTTTTAGTTAAATGAAAAGGGAGTAACAAAGGAAATTACATTTCTGCATTTTCATTTGATGTGCTTCTTTGAATGAGCGGCACACATGCATATGTTTCAAAATAAGGAGGTTAACTGATGGGCATTCTCCTTTGTCTGCCTCTCTGTTTGCTCCTTGCTGGCTTAACTGTAACCAATAGCAGAGATGCTCTATATGCCGAGGCAGATGTGTGCACACATGCATATTCCTTCCCTCTTCTGTACAGCTCTCTACATCCCAGCAGGTTTCCGTGTGAGTGTACCCAGGGCTGCCATCCTATTGCTAGTAACTCCCAATATGTTCTGGTCTGACTGCATCAGAATTGGTTTAGTCAGTCGGCCAATAGCTGCATGTTAAGGTTTTCAGGCTTCTGTGATACCCCCAACACATGACCTGAGTGCATGCCATTGTGTCCCCAGGCATGTGCAGGCTGTGCCCTTCATGGGCCCCACAGCATTGTGGGGAATGGTGCTGCTCCCAACAATGTTTTCAGGGCAACATAGTTGGGTCCCATAATATCACAGGAGAAAATTGCGTTTCTCTAATTACAAATACTGTTGAGCCTATTTTCATTTAAAAGCCACTAATTAATTTTTTCTTTAATGTTGTTTGTATCTTATTAAACAAAATGTGATGACTTAAGAATGGCAACTCCTATGAAAACATCCAGATTGACTGAGTTTGTTCTCCTGAGGACACACTTATCTATGCACTTATAGTTGACACCCCATCACTTTTCATTTTACCCCTTTCCTCCATTTTTCACTATAAAGGCAGATTTAAGGTTAGCCAGCTTTTATAGACCTGTATGTGGTATTTCATTGAATCGATGTAGCTAACATATTAAATTGACCACACTAATTGGTCAACTAAATATTTGGATTGTTTCCAGTTTTTTCCCTTTTTAGGTGAGCTGAGCTGAGCAGTTTCTTGGCTGTATTAGCTACTTGTCTCATTGCTGTAACGAAATATCTGACAGAAGCCACTTAGGGAAGGAATGGCTGGTTTTGTCTTAAGGGTTCAAGGGATTTTGATTCATCTTTTAGGGAAGACATAGTTGTGGGATGGCAGTGTGGCTGCTTACATCACTGCAGCAGACAGGAAGTGGTAATGTGGCTGCTTACATCACTACAGCAGACAGGAAGCAAAGGGCTCATCCTGTTAACAGAAGTGGGTATCATCTTCAAGACCCATTTCTGCTTTCTGGGCTGTGTATTCCAAAGGTTCTATAACCTCCCCAAACATGGCCATACCTGGGGACTCTTAGTAGAACAGGATGTGTTTGTCTAACCATAACACTGGTGGTTCTTTGAAACTGCTTTTGAATAGGGTTTTGGGGAAGCATGTCCAGAGGTTCTACCAGGTGCCCAGAGTTAGGCGTTGTGGTATGAATGATTTTCATGCACCTAAAATTTGCCACAGTCATGTGACTCTCTTGTCTTTATTCTGCTTCTTAAACTTCTCCTCTTTGCATCCTAACATGCATCTCTAGGACAAAGGTTCTCAACCTGTGTGTCAAAAATCCTCTGAGGGGGTTGAACCACCCTTTCACAGGGGTCGCTTAAGACCATCAGAAAATGCGCATGTTTATATTATGATTCATAACAAACAGTAGCAAATCTACAGTTATGAAGAAGCAAAGAAAATAATCTTATGGTTGGGGGGGTCACTACAACATGATGAACGTATTAAAGCATTAGGAAGGTTGAGAACCACTTTTCTAGGGCATCAGAGCCAGGTCAGAGGCAGAAGTAGAGAGATTGGTTCCTAATTGCACATTTACTCAAGTTTCCTCACCTGGTCTTTCATCTCACCTGACCTCACTGGACTCTGTGGTGTAATGTTGGCTCTAAGACTGAAGTCTTCAGAGACACTGCTCCGAGCATTAGTAACAGGCAGGCCTATCAGCCTTTCATTTTTCTGGCTTGTGTTAGGAAGTCAGCTTAGCCTTGAGCCCTGGCTCCATTCCTGGAAATGTGTTTCTGGGTGACTTGCTGAGCTGCTGTCAGCATGTGCTTCTCATCTGTGCTGATGGGGACAGAGAAGAAGGATGTGGGATGCTGTCGATGCTCTACAAGCTGCTGTTCACGTGTTTTGTGCTGAGTGTGCTTTACTATGGTAATCCTAGGGAAACCTTATCCTACACACAGGGCAGAGAAGCCAGTTTTATAATCTGAGGCCTTCCCAGTTATGCATGAAGAATAGTTTATGGTTGGAAGTTGGCAGTTTGCAGGTGGAAGGACATTTGTAAAGTGGACCAATATTTCACAAAGAGAAGGTAGGAGAAAACACCCTGAGCAGCTAGCCACAGCAGTGGGCAAGCAGACCTACTCAGATAGTCATTTGGGGATTGAGAGGGGTGTGTGGCACATTCGTGGGGGCAGTGACTATCATAGGCTGAGGCTCATTAATGTTCTGGGCCCCCCTCTCTTAATCCCCAATGTGACTCCCCAGCTCAGGTGGCAGGATTTATAATGCAGGAGGCTTAGTGGTGTAGGGGGGCAGGTTCTGGCATTGGACTTCATGGTCAGAGTGTGGTTTTGCTAGTTATGTGGCTTGGTGAGTTTTAACCTGTCTTTCAGTTTCTTAGTTGTAAAATGAGGAAAAGAGAGACAATTTTTGCTGGTTCAGTAAATACACTTCCTACATGGGTAATACATGTTAACTACCATCACTTTTTATTAATTTAGGTTACTGAAACCTTGCCTAGTCAAAGGCAGGAAGGATGAAGGGCTAGGTTAGTCTGTTCTAAGTACCAACTTGGAGTCTATTGGTGTGCACATGTGTTTTATTAGCCTTGGGTGCATGATGGTGGAACAGAAGTGCACTGAGAAGATTTAGCATTTGATATTACTTTTGCTCAAAATTAATGACTTCCCTCATTTGCCATGGTTCATCAAAGAGCAAGGGCATGTAACTTGTGCAGTGCAATCAGGTGCAGTTACGGTTATGTAAGTCACACCCCTCTAAATGATTGATTGACTTGCTTCCAGCTGGGAGACATATGTGAAAAAAGAGAAGACATAGGTTTACATGATGAGTCCATTTGAAGGAAGTGTCCTAGTCTCTGGTCCTGTGGGAGCAGAACACCACAGAAATAACTGCCTTACAGTTCTAGAAGCTGGGAAGGCTAGAGTTGAAGAGCTGCACCTGGCCGGGGCCTTCTGGCATGTCAGAGCATGATGGAGGACAGCATGTCACAGAGAGTTCACGTGAGGGAAATGTCAGCTGACCTGCTTTTGTAACAAACATGCTTGGTGCTAAGTCATTGGTGAGGGCCCAGCCCTTGTAACCTGATCAGTTTTTTTTTTTTTAAACAAACTAGATTTTTTATATGTATGACTACTTTGCTTTCATGTATGTTTGTGCATCAAGTGCACCAAGTGTATTCCTGGTGCCTGTGGAGGTCAGAAGAGGGTGTTGGATTCCCTAGAACTGGAGTCCCTGAAAGTTGTGAGCCTTTACATAGGTGCTAGGTCCTGAACTTGGGTCCTTTGCAAAAGCAACAGGTACCCTTAAGTGCTAAGCCAGCTGTCTGTCCAGCCCCTGATCAGTTCCTAATAGCTGCTTCCACACATGGACTTGGGGAGACAGGGTCAATCTGGGAACATTTTCTGTCTCTGCCCCTTGTGTTAGCTGTCTCATGTGACAAATTGTCTCCCAACTTGGTATCCTGAAACAGCAAGTGTTTAGAATTCTCTGTGATTTCTGTGAGCTAGGAGTCTGAGAATGAGCGAGGGTCTTTCAGAAAGTAGAGGTTGAGTTGTTGGCCAGAGTTGGTGTACTTAAAGCAGGCTACTAATTGCTTTACCTGTTTAGTGTAATGAACTGAGAGTCCTGCTTTTCTCCATCTTTGCTACATGCTTAGCGGCAGCAGCAGCCAGGTCTTTAATGACTTGCAACTGAGAGCAGGTAAAGCCATTCATAAGGCAGGACTTGTGTGCTGGGCCAAGGATGAGGACAAGGCACACATCAGGATAGGCAACATGTGTTAGGGGAAGTTGCTCACCTATAGTTTGGAGCTACCAGAATGTTCAAGAATTGATAGTTAACCTTGTTCATTTGTTTACTCTCAAAGATAGGCTGTTATGTGTTAAGCTTTGTCAATTAGAAATAAACAGAACATGGTTGATTCTAACCTAGGTGCTTGAGTTGAACAGGGGTATATAAACACAGACTTTAACTTTTTGGCTGAATGTTCTTGTGCTCTGGTGTACCTGGTCATGCATAGATGAAAGAATGGCATGGTGTAGGGCAGGCGTGAGCTTGGTTTTGCTTCATTTTAGTTTTGTGGTTTTTTTGTTTTTTTAAAGACAGATCTTGGGAAAGAGCCCAGACCATTCTTGATATACTTGAACTCAGTGTATTGAACCTAATCTGGCCTTGAACTCAGAAGTCTCAGCCTCCCAAGTACCAGTGTTACAAGTGTGTGCCACCATTCCCCGGCTCAAGCTGAGACTGCAGTGAAGAGTGAGGTGCCTCAGGCACCCATTTAAGGAGATACTTATCCACAGAGGAGCCTTGTGGGTGTGGGGTCTTGAATGGTCACTTTGAACCTAGTGCTTCTCCCCTGAAAGCCAGGGTGAAACAGTCTCACCCTTGTAGATTTATGCTGAAATGTGCTGAATCAGAGGCCTCTGCCCATGTCCTTAGCCAGAGCTTGGCACCATGAGTAGTACTGGTCCTTGAAAGTAATTTATCCCTCCACCTCAAGGCTACAGTCACTCTCGGGAGTTCATCTAGCTCGCTGTTGCTCAGATATAACTAACATTTTAATAAATAATTCTCTGGGTT